AAATACTGAAGTCACTGCTGGGTGCAGCAGGGAGCACCAGTGAACACATGTTACAGAGAAGGTGGCAACAGAAGAGGGGGTGTGCTCATCACCTAACCAGATGAGCAGCTGGATGGAGGGGCTTTGGGCAGCGGAAGGTTGGTCAGTGGGCTGACTGGCTGTGCACCAGATGGGTTTGGGGATACCTTAGAGGTGGGTGCAAATCCAGCTTCATCCCCTAATCGTAAGTGGTTAACTGCAGGATGCATGGGCATCTCAAAAGGGACAAGATAATGAGATCTTCCTTACCCCAGCCCCAGGGGGACTCGAACGTAAGGTGGTGGAGGAGAATCCTGGCTCTCATTCATGAGGAAGGCAATCAATGTTGGCTAAGAGGACCAGAAGCTCAGTTATCCTGAGAAGAACAGGAAAACAAGCAGGCAAGAGCCTGCAATCCAGACCCATTTCCCCAGCATCAATGAACAGAAGAAAGATGCCAAATGTCCAAAATGAGGACGGGGGGCAAGGTTACTGCACCTATTTGAGCTGCTAAATGGCTATGATGGGGTCACAGGATGGCTTGAGATGTGAAGGCCACCAGCCCTCTTTGGCCTGTTGGCAAGCATATCAGCCTCCCTCTAGAGGCTGCAGGGAAGGGAAACCCATGAGCCTTGTAGCCAACACTGCCCTGCTCTGAGGGAGGGGATCTTGAATGAGATCACGGAAGCTGCGAAACAGACTTTTGGTTTAAAGGCTGGAAGCACAAATGGATATTTTTACACTGAAAAGGGGCAGTACTCCTTTAAGCTGTTGGAAGAGCAACCTGATGGGTCTGATTCTAGTACGTAAAGGTAGAAACTGCAGGTATTTACCTGTGAGAACCCTGCATGTCACAACAAATTTTCCCCTTAGCCAACATGGAAAATCTAGGTGTGATATTTGTTCAGGTTCTGACTGCTGCCTGCCAACAGTCTTTTCTTCTGAATAACTGTGTCTTTTTTACCAGCTGAAGTTCGCAGAAACCCCAAGGAGTGCAGAAACAGAGGAAGCCCCACCCCACTTGCTGAAGCTCTGGGACCTTCACTGCAGACACATAGACAACAGAGGATAGAAGACCCCTAAGTGTTCAGGCTGTAGTTATGAAAAATCAACACACACAGACTTTGGGGGAAAGCCACTATTCATTTTGGAAGGGGGAAGTTGGAGACAATGACCTTCCTCTTCCCTGGATGGAATTATGTCCCTTAAAAAAATAAAAAGCATGTCTAAATTCTTTTGGAATTTAAACACTGTTATGATGGCAAAATGAAAAACATCTGTGAGGGGAATCTGAGGGGTGTGTCATTATCAAGAACTTGGGAAAAGGGGGGATTGAACTATTTATCAGAGAGCATAATAATTCAAGAAGGCTCAGAGTATATCAGCTACCTCTCTTTTTCAAAAGATTAGAGAGCTGAAGGCTTCTCTATCAGGGAGGAGGATCTGGGTGGGCAGGCACCTCTCCTGATAGGGACAAGGAAAGGGTTTTTAGAATAGGAAGAGGTGGGAAGATGGATTTGCTCTTTACAGTGAGCTGGTGTGAGGCTTTCTGTTTTAAGGGAAAGGAGGGCCAAACAGGCCTTCGGAGCAGAGGGGAAGAGATGAGGTTGCAGGTGGAAAGCTATTAAACAAGAGACAGGTCACCAGGCCAGGAGAAGGGGTGACCCCAAGGGTGGTCTGGGCAGGACCATCTGTAGCCTGGGGGAATCTTATGTGTTACTAGCTAGGAAAAAAACAAAAAGTCCAGTAAGCAGTCAGAAGAAACCACTTGATAAAGAGGCCCTTGTCTGGAGTCAACACTGATAATTTTACCAGACCTTGAGGCCAAACCAAGGGCTTCCAGATCAGGCTATAAATTTGAGTACTTCAGGCAGTGCAAAATATAATCTGTAATGGGTTGAAAGGAAGGAGAAAGGATGGAGGGCAGCGTGGTGTATGGAAAGAGCTAAGGGTTTGCAGCCAAACTTACTGTGTGACCTTGGGAAAGTCACTTAACCCCTCTGAGCTTCAGTCCCTTCTTCTGTAGAATCAGCATAATAATATGTACCTTGAGAGGCTTCAGTGAGGATTCAGGGAGGAACCCATGTCGATACCAGTGTAGTACTTGGAGACTGCAGGCACTCAATTACTGCTAGTTTCCTTCCCCTTCAAAAAGCTGTGCTTGCAAGTCAATTGCTGTATGTCAAGACCTGTGATATCCAATAGGATGGCCAGTATTAGCCACATGTGGCCCTCAAGCACTTTCAAGGTGGCTAGACTGAATTGAGATGTGACATGAGTGTAAAACACACAAGATTTACAAAACTTTGTACAAAAAAATGTGAAATGTCTTATTATTAGGTTTATAGTCATTACATGTTAAAATAATAATCGTTTGGATATATTGGGTTAAAGTATATTGTTAAAATTAATTTCACCTGTTTCTTTATACTAGATTTCATGTGGCTACTGGAAAATTTTAACTGATGGTGTGGCTCACACTTTGTTTCTGTTGGACAGTGCTGACTTAGACATTAGATGAACATAGGGAAGCCATGTTTCTGTACTTTGAGTTTGTGCTTTGCTTTTGTGTCTTGGTTCCCCAGTAAAAGACCCTTTGAAAACATGCCATCCAGGACTCAGCCCAGATGGGTGGAAGGTACCCGTGCGCCCCTAGTGGTTAAGTGCAGTGGTGGCCATAGTCCAGGACACAGGAGGCAGGGCTGGTGTGAGAGAATCCAGATGGCAGGGGGTCAGTCAGGGTGGCTGGGGAGGGACTATCCCTTCTTAGCCTGGACCTTCGCTCCAGATTCCTCTACTTTACTGCAGGAGGATCGCCCCATTCTCTCTTATTTCAGAAAGTTCCCATCTTATACAGGCTCCCACCAGACAGTAACAAACACAGGTGCAAGGCAAAATGCCTTGGCCGCCACGTTCAGAAAACCGCAGTTTCCAGAGAAATGAACAGCAGACATTTACGGACATGAGAATGGTCATTTTTTCTCTCTCCCAAGAAGTGTGGTTGGTTCTTTTCTAAACTGTACATTTTACTGTACATTTTTTTTTTAACCAAAGGAGAAGATTGGCATTTATATTCTGATGACAGGGATGTTGCTTTCCAAAACTCCAACTCAGAAATACGACAAACACAAGCACAAGTACATATCATATCATGTCGCGACAGAGCTCGGGGCCACTGATGAGAACAGGCAGCTGGTTCCTCCCCTGCCAATGACCACCACTTTCCCTCTGGGTGTCTGAACCCAAGGACAAAAAGAGGGAGATTATTTGGGATCACTTCCTCAATGGCTACATTTCAAAAGTCTAAATGGGAAAGGAGGAGAGAAAAAGGAGAGGGGGGAGGTGGGCACAGGGAAAGACGGAGGGCATGAGAGATTTCCTTTGAGTCACCCAATTCTGTGGGTGCCACAATGACCACGGAGGGCGGGTGCTCTGGCACTGGGACCGGCCTGGAACGTAACCTGTGAACTGAGGAAGAAACTGGCCTGATCTGTTAATGACCAGAAAGGGACTGGGGAGGTGGAGAGTCACAGAAAGAAAAAGAATGACGACAGGAGGTTGGAGGGAAGGTGAGGAGAGGGCGGAGGGTGGGGGGGAGGCTGAAGGCACAGGATTTGGAGGCCCCTGGGCTGGCACCCGAAGGCAGTCCTGCATAGACAGTTCCCTGCCGGCTCCTGTGGGCTCTGGGTGGGGTTGGGGCCACCAGCTCAGCCCCAGTTCTGAGCCCACCAGAGCTTTTCAGCCAAAGTGGACTCACCTGTATGTTTTGTATGCTGTGTGGTTGAAAGTGGACAAGGGAAGGAGAAGAGAGAAGCTAGACATCTGGGGCAGAGGCCTGGAAGAGGAAAGAATGAGCTGGGGAGACGGAGGGAGAGGTAGTGCGTTGGCAATGAGGAGAGGCCTGGGGCAGATGGAGACCAGGAGGGACGGAGATGCAGCGGCAAGTCCTGCAGATGCTTCCAAACAGGTTCTCCCTGGTCATGTCTTCCTTGCTCCCTCAGGACACTGTCTGGGAGTGTGGGGTTGATCCCCAGCTGGGAAGGAGCCCATGTGCCCCTCCCATTACCATCCTGTCTTTCCAAGGACAGATCTTTCTCATTGATGGCATCCATTGGATGTGACCCCATGTCCCACCCGGAGCCACCTTGTTCAGGAGCAAACAAGGGACAGACTTTGGACACGGAAAGGATCTGTGGAGGGTGAAGTCAGGGTAAAAACTGGGCAACAGATTCCCAACACCATTCCCAGGAGGTAGGCAGCCTCGGCACCAGGCCTGACTCGGTCCCTCTCTTTGTGCGCCTTTGGACAAATCCCTTATACTCTGCGGGGAGGAGAGAGGGTAAAGATGACATGATCACAAACACCTTCAAACTTCAAAACCCGACCATTCTAAAAAGATTCCACTTCCTTTCCAAGGCCTCTAGAATTCTCCCTCTGTCCAGTAGGAGGGATAGGGACTGCTCAACCAGCTTGTGCTTCTGGCACCACTGAGCTGGAAACCATAATATTTAAAATTATGAAGAATTCATCAGTCCTTAAAACTAGAAGGGAATCGGAGACCTGCTACAATCCCAGTATTTTACAACATAGGAGACTGAGGTCCAAAGTCAAGGTCTTGCCCTGTGTGTTCAGCTGGTTATCAGTGGTGGCTCTGGAACCCAAACTCAGAACTTTGGACTCCTAGTCCAGTGCTCCTTCTGCCACCACTCCAGTCTGCTTTCCTTAAGAGAAGACCGCTTTGCCCACACCACATGCTCGTGGGAAGTTTCTGTCCCAGTTTCCTGTAAGAGAGGCACAGGTCTTACATCAATCCCCAAAGTTAACATCCCTTATGCCTCATACAGCCCTCTCCCTCTCCCACATGGCAGCCTTGGGAGTGACCTTTCTGCTTTTAAGGTGATGTGATGGGAGTATCATGTTGGAGAAGCAAAGGACTGGGTCAGTTATGGGTGGGTGGGGGGGGTTCACTCACCTTTCCCAGATGTGAGGATGGTTGGGAATAATGAGGGGTCTGGACAGGGGTTTGTCCCCCCAAACAAATGCAGAACCAGAACCATTCCCTTTTTTGTCAATTGGCAATAGTTGCCCACTGCCAGGGCTGCTGGGAACCCACTTTCACATGTAAACTTTCCATTATGTGTGTGAATGAATAGGAGGAGTCCGGGAAGTGGAAAAAAATAAATTAAGAAATAAAAACAACACTGAAACCAAAGGCAATCCAAAGCCGCTTGCTTACGCGCTACATTTGTGCTTAGAAAGGAGGGGGTCCCGCCTTTCCAAACACTCAGGGCTCAGTCCGACATTTCAGCAATCCAGTCTGCATTCCCTGAGCACAGCCCAGCTGGGAGGTGGGGACAGGCCTAGGAAGGTGGGGGTGGGGGTGGGGGGCGTTGAGAGGGAGATGAAACGGTCCCTGGATGTAAACATCACCATGGAAGCTCCACAAAGACTGACCACAACTATCCTTTCCCTTTCTTCCACCCTGCAAGGGCTGGAGGGAGGATGCCCACGCCCCCAGGCCTACACCGTGCTCTCCATTACCCACTCAGAGCTGCCGAAAGCTCCCCGGGCCCCCACCAGGTCACTCTCCTCAAAGGGCAAGAGCATGCCATTGACAGAGAGGCTGCGCTTTGTCCAGATGTTCGAGACCCTCCGAGGGGGGCTGTAGCCAGCCGGGGCGATCCCTCCTGCTGCGGCGGCAGCAGCCGCAAAGTCCCCCATGTCGAAGGAGTGGCTGCGCTTGGTCTTGCCCTCCAGGGGCAAGGGAAGCAGGCTCCTGGCGCGGGCTGCGGGCGGCCCCAGCAGTGGCTCTCGGTCCGAGTGGTGGCCGCTGGCCGGTGTCCCAGACCCTCTCCCGCCCGGAGTCCTGGAGTCCAGCAGCTCCTCCTTTCTCTGACTCTTGAGGTCCAGGGAGGCAAAAGCCCCCATCAGGCGGTCAAGGTTGGGCTTGGGGCGGGGCACGGGGGGCGGAAGCCTCCAGGGGCCCCGTCCCAGCCCCGCGGCCTCCCCGCTGCCCAGCGAACTGGAGGAAGAGGAGTTGCTGCCGCGGGTGGCGCTGGCACCGAATGCCACGAGCTCATTGCGCACCACTACCTTGGGCGGCCCCTGCGCCGCAGCCCCGCCAGGCACGCTGCCTGGAGCAGGCTGCTGGGCCCCGTTAGTCTGCGAGTGCACGTTGCTGACAGCGGCAGCTGCCATCTTGCCGGGGACCTCGTGGTTGCAGACCTTGTAGCGCACCATGAGGATGACGATGAACACCAGCAGCGTGGCCACGATGACGCCCCCGATGGCCAGGATCATGGTGCCGCCCAGGATCTGGCTGTGCATGGACTGGCACTGCGGGTAGTCCGCCTTAGTGAAGAACTGGGCACAGCCCACGATGTTGGTGGCGGTGAGCGTCGTGGCCGTGTCGTCCCACATGGCCAGCACGCACAGGTCGTAGCCTGTTCCTGACACCAAGTTGTTGACCACGAACGCCTTGTTGGAAGCTGGGATCATCCTGGGGTGGGTGAGGGGGGACACAGAGTGGGAGGGTGGCGAGGGTCAGCAGAGGGATGGGGGCATAGAGGGAGAGACAGAAACAGGAGAGATGGATGGAGCGGGAGAGAGACCACCAGACGGACACAGGGAGGCAGAGAGAAATGAGGCAGAGCAGAGGAGAGAGGGACAGGTGCAGAGACAGAGGGGGAGGAAGGCCAGGGGCAGCGGTAGGAGTAGGGCACAGGAAATGGTGAGGGACCAGAGGTGGCAGGAGAGGGATGCAGATAGGAAGACAGGAAGATGGGCGAAAGATTCAGGGGTACAGGTGTCAGAGAGAGACAGACACAGAGAGGGACACATCAGTGGGCAGGTTCCAGAGCACCATCCAGAAGACGTGGAAATGGAAGACCACGGTTATGAAGGTTATGAAGGCAAAGGAGACAAGCAAGGGGAGTAGAAGGCGGAGGAGGGAGTGGAGAGCAGGTGCAGGTTGAGGTAAGAGACGGAAGGGGGGAGACTCAGGCAGAGATGGGAGAGGAGACACAGGGAGGGGCAGAGGGAGAGACCGGGAGAGGCAGAGAAGTTAACGGCAGGAAGAAGCACAAGTTAAACGAGGGACCCCCTGCCCACCAGAGCCTCGCCTCTGTCCTGTCTGCCTCAGTCTCCAGGAAGGGGGCGGGGTGAGAGTCAGGCGGGCCCTGGTCCTCCCCAGACCGCCCAAGATTCAGCAGTGGAGCCCCCTCCCTAGGCCAGTGCTGTGCTCCGTCACAGACAAGGTCCTGTGCTCCGGAGCCAGCACGTTCCTGCAGACGGCTTCCTCATGCCCTAGGGAGGGAGAAGGCTGTTGCAACCTGGCGGGGGTGGAGGGTTCTAAAGAGAAGAGAACTGGGGGTATGGAGGAGGGTGTGTGGCTCAGAGGTTAAGAGGCCAGTGCAGTGCTGAAGCCTGGAGGGGACGGTGCTTCCCAGAGGGAAGAGGCAATTCCCTCGTCATAGTCAGAGCAGGCCAAGTTCATCCAGAGACCTGCAGAAAGAGCTTCTCTGGTCAGGAGGCCTTGACCAGTCCCTCCACCTTTCTGGTGGGGCAAAATCTCCCCACATGGGGCCAGTCCTCTGTAGCCTGGGTGTCTCCTACCTGGACCTTTGGGAAGCCTGGATGTGAATCTGAGTTCTAGGGCTCTTATCCAGACATTATGCCTTCTGGAGAGTCAACAGCTCTGTCCCCTCATAGCACCCCTGCAGAACTATTCACCTCAGCCTGAAGGTGCCCCGTCCCTCTCGGCAGCCTTTTCCCCTACTCCCCTCTCCCCAGCTCCTCCTGAAGAGCCCTCCATCTCCTGTACCCTACTTCTCCAGGACTCCATCAGCACCAGCTGTCCCCCAAACCCAGAGCCAGGCAACTGAATTGAGATCTCAAATATTGAATACTGGAGCCTGAAGACTTCCACCTGGGAACTCCACATGCACAGAGGACTGGAGCTGACAGGCAGAATACTGACACCCCATCAGTGGTGCCTGGGAAGCTCCTATCTCCCTCCTCACCTTTCCAGCCTGCTCTGCTGATGGGGAATCCACAGTGGAGAAAACTCATCTCCTGCTGCACCCTACCCCATAGCAGCAGGGCCTGGGGAAGAAGAGGCGGGATGGAGGAGGTAGGGTGGGGTGGGTCCAGCAAGGCCCTGCAGACCAGCCCCTTAGGTCTGTCTGCTCCACTGGGTGTCATGACAGTCCTGTAAGGACAGGGATTTGTGATCTCATGTCACAGAAGAGGCATGGTCAAGGCTCAGAGAAGCAAAGGGATTTGCCTGGGGTTGCACAGCTGAGACTGCTAGGATGGGGCAGTCGAGACTTTAACACTAGCTTCTAGGTCCATAGTATAGGCTGGTTCCTTATAATGTGACAACACAGAGCCATTTTATCTCATCCCCGTGAAAAGCCCACCCTGACCTGTGGCCTGCCAGCCACCCCCTTCCCTGGAGCAATGCTCAGCGCCTGCTTCAGCTCGCCCTCCTCGACCAGCAGGATCTCAGGCTTGCAGGCCCATCTGCTGAGCAGAACTGAAGAAGTCCAGTGTGGCCAGTGCTGCAGAGTCCACTTCCTTCCCCCTCAGGGAGAATATGTAAGCTGGAGAGGTGGGAGCTCTGCACACCCAGAGCAGTGCCACAGTAAGAGCCAACACCTACTGCGTGGCAACACAGAGCATGTGCCCAGCTGTTTCCAGGGCCCTCTATCAGCTCACTCAGTCCAGCAGCAGTTAGCTGAGGGAGCCCGATCATGATCCTTATTTTGCAGATGGGGAAAGAGAAGGGTTAAGCAAACATAAGATGGCAGAGCTGGGACTCAAACCCAGGCAGCCCAGCATCTACTCCAAACCCCTCGCTCCACCACCTCATGGGGCCTGGGTGGTGTCGGAGCACATCTATTTGTGGAGGGGAAGGGCTTGCTTGTTCATTGAACACCTGTTATGTGACAAGGGTTTCCACATTCAGTAGTGCATTTAACCTTCACAACAGTCCCAAGACATGGGAGATGGACTATAAGCTCAGAAATTAGCTCAATGTCCAGCTGTTCTTTCTCAGGAAGCAGAAACTACTTTTACTGATAATCACAAAGAACAGCTAACATTGGGGGCTTACTCTGTGCCAGGTGCTGTTCTGTGATCTTTAAGGGGATTAATACAACAATCGTCAGGAGGTAATTATTATTATTGTCTTCCACACTCTACAGATAAGACCCAAGGCACAGAAAGGTTACACTGCCTGCCCGAGAGTGCCCAGCTAGTGAGAGGCAGAGCTGGGATCTGAAGCAGGCAGTCTGGCCCCAGAACCTCCACACCTGACCACTGTGGCCTCTCAGACACCAGCCATTAGCTGGTGTCTCTCCCTTCTTTCCCCTTGCTCAGAAAAGCTTTGCTCCCTGTCCCTTGTAGGTCACGGTCAGCCTTTGAAGAGTGTTTCAGTGAGTGAGGGGCACAGCCAGAGTCGTGGCTGTCAGAAGCACAGCCACAGACCGGCCCATCAGCAACAAGCTTCCCAAGATTGCAGCAGGAAAGCAGCTCCTGGATCTCCTGCTGTGTGTGTGTGCGCGCGTGCATGTGCGTGCGTGCGTTCGTGCGTGTGTGTGTGTGTGTGTGTGTGTGTGTGTGTGTCTGAGGGGACTTACAGGAGAGCTGAGCCAGCTGGCTCAAAGCAGCCTTGGCAGTCAAGCTCGTCTTTGCCGATAACAATAATATCCAGTGTGTGGGCCCTAACCTTGTGCTGGGAAGTTTAACATGCATTATCTCAGTTAATCTCCTGGCAACACTGGAAGAAGTTCTCATCACCATATGCATCTAGGGAAGGAGGAAGGGAAGCAGTTTGTACTTCCCTTGGGAGTGCGGTGCCGCTGAGACCACACCTGGACCTGCTGGGGCTCAGATCCCACACTCTTAGACACAAGCAAGACTGCTCCCCACTCTAGGCAGCCAGAAGGGCCAACTGCACAAGAAAGTCACATGAAAGGGGCACTATTAAAACTCCAGGGGCAAAACCAAGCCCATCTCCAGGCTCTGTGGCCCTGTCCACCTCCTCATACTCCCCCAACACAGCAAACTGCTCATCTTTCAGGCTAGACCTGTGGAGCCTGGCTCCCTCTTCATTCCTGGGCATACCCCACTGGCAATCTGCCTGGTAGGGCCACCTTCTGGACTTTTTCTGGCTCTCCATCTCCACACACACACTCTGGCTTAGGACTCCCCATCTCTGGTCTGGATGAATGCAGCAGCCTCCAAATGGGCCTCCTCACCTCTGGTTGTCCTCCTTAAAGGCCACCATCTCCATAGTGCTCAGCTAAAGTACAACTCTGGCTGTGCCCTTCACCCACTGAGACACTCTTTGAGGGCAGACCATGACCTACAAGGGACAGTCTAAGCTCCCAAACCCAGCTTCTCAACACATATGGGACCTTCCACCCACACACACCCTCTATCTTTGCCCACATTGTTTAGGAAAATACCTCAAATCACTTGGGCTCTTTAAGGGCAGGAGGCGCACTCACAGAGGGAGAATTGAAGACTTTACTTCCAAAGGGACTCGTTACAGATGGGTGGATAGGGGCTGGGGGCCACAAGGGAACAGGCAATACCCCAGGGTTGGTAGCAGCCAAGCTGTTGCCCTCTCTAGGTCTGAACATACCAGGGGAGGTCACCAGACACAGGAGAAAGAGAGAGTCACGCGGGTCAGTGCTACTCGGAGTGTGGCCAGCAGGTGAGTGCTGGTCCGTGAGCTCTTTCTTCCAGGTCCATGATCAGATGGTACAGAAACTGAGAGTAAGCATCTAGAAAGTTTTACAGCAATTTGGCACTGGCTGTGACATCCAGGGGCATAACCATTTTTTTCTGACTGTTTCCATTATATTCTTACAAAAACCTGGCCCTGCACTGTGAATAGTTGGAGAAGCACTAGGTCTGGAGCAGGGGCTCTTGGCCTTGGTACTACTGATACTGTGGGCTGATAATTCTTTCTGGTGGGGTCTGGACAAATGCAGCTGCCTCCAAATGTGCTGCAGGATGTTTAGCTGCATCCCTGGCCTCTACCTACTGGATACCAGTAGCATCTCCAGACATTGCTAGACATCCTCTGGGGACAAAACATGTCCCCTGTTGAAATATATTGGTCTAAAAAAATTGGTTGGGGGACTGAGGGAGCCAGGGGCAACCTTATCATGTGAAAACTAGATAAATAAGTACCTTGACCTCCCTCTTTCCTCTTCTCAGTCTTCTGCTACTGCTCACCATGGCTGACCCCAACCAAAAGCTAGAGTTCATGGGTGCACACTGGTGAGCCTTCCAGGGCACACAGCAGAGCAGAGGAGGGGAAAGCAGTTCTGGAGAAGCAAAAGATATTATCTAGCACAACCATCGAGTCAGAGCCCTCTTTGTGAAAGACACATCCTGAAATCCTGATAGGTTTCTTTCCATCACATCAACTAGTGACATCTCTGTTAGCAGAAAATATGAATTGCTATTTTAAGTTAAGTTGCT